TGAAGGATATTAATGTCATGGTTCTGGGTCGCTGACCCAGTGTTTTAAGTTTATTGTTATTATTTTCTTGTTTCTTCCGTTTTGTATTAGTTCTTAGGGTTTGAGTCTTGTGTTTATTTTTTCTGTTATTTGTGTCTCTGAATTTGTGTTTGTAAAACAGCCTGTGCATTTCATGTTTTACTTTGTAGGTCTGTGTCTTGTTATGCCCATTAGTTCCAGCTGTGTCCACCCCTGCGTGTCATTTCCCCATTACATGGTTTGTATTTATAGTGTGTGTTTCCCTTTGTTCATCGTCGCTCCTTCTGTGTAATTTGGTATCTCTGCGTCTCTCTGCTCTTCTTTCTCCATGTCTTCCCTGCGTGATTCCCCGTGTCCTTATGTTTTTCAGGGGTTTTTTATTAGTTTTCCCAGTAGAGGCTTTAGTTGCTCCCTGTTCCTTATTTCCTGTCTTGCACTTTGCTGTCACTACAAATAAACGCTCACTCGGACCCCAACCAGTAGCTGCAGTTTGGATCCTTTTCTCACATCACCACACAACTGCTGCCCCAGCCATGACAATCAATAACCTTTTTTAACTTCTTAATGTAATTTTTTTTTACTTTTATTTTTACTTTTATAAGTAAAATGCTCTACTGAGTCAAGTCTGCTACCGGTAACTGATCCTTCATCATGGGCACGATAGGTGCAGCAGTGCTCCAGGGGGCCGTTTGCACAGGTCCCGGGTCTGCTTTTCTTCGCCCTGCAGTGAAGTGGGGGAAATAAGAGTGCTTACTGAGCAAGAAGTCCTGGCTCTCTCCTTCCAGGGATAATCTTTTACCTCCCAGTCTCACATATCCCATGCCTTCTACTCCCTCATGCTTCATCTGACAACATGTCACTCACACACAAAAGGGCTTGGAGGAACTATACACCGCAAAGGCCACAGTCAGTGGAGCCATTTACATGGCTTTGCTGGATGTTCTGTGTGGCCATCCATCCTTCCTTTTTATTTATACTGTCACATCTATACATTATATCTCACCTCCTTTTTTGTATCTCAAAATTTAAGATTTAGCTCCATTTATTAATATTGCATTAGTCCAATGGTGAGTCACTGCACTGGAATTTCATTCTAATGCACACTAACTGATGTGTCTTCTAAATAACAATAAAGTAGCTATTCTATTCTCCTCAATTTTACACATGCACACACACACTCATTTACATAACAGAGTGGAAGAGAGTACAATCTCTAAAGAGGGCTTGCAAATGTGACACAAATCTCCTAGCAACCACATCTGGGACCATTAAGAAGGCTGGGTGTGTGCAAGTGATTGCTTTAACGGCATGACAGAGAACGAAAGAAGCTTATAAAGGATGGCGTTGCTGTGAGTGTGAATCAATTGGAGATTGTTCTGTTGTAAGTTGTTAATACTCTCATAAAGGCAAGCTGCTGCCATTGCTATTCTATGAACTGCCATGGCAGTTCTTTCTTTTAAGTAAGTAGATAACCTGGAAAACTATTTTACCACTTGCAGTTAATCTTTACATTTTATTCAATGACTATAAAATAAAAATTTTATTAAATTCAGTCAATTTTAAGTCAATTTTGACTTTTTCGTTCCTGGATTCAATTCAATACAGAAATCAAACTGATTAAGAATGTGGAACAGATGTAGTGGGGACACTTGTTGGAAAGTCAAAAACAGTTTCAATTTTTGATTCAGTTTTATTTATATATTGCCAAATCACAACAGCAATTGGCTCAAGGTTCTTTATTTTGTAAAGTTAAAGAACCTAAAACAATACAGAGAAATTTCTAATAATCAAATGGCCCCTATAAGCAAGCTCATGGTCATGGTTATAACTATGGCTTATTTATGCAGGTAAGCCTTTGTTATCAATGCTTTTTGTTTTTTTTTAATTCAAATTTCAGATGTGGGCCACTTGCATTTGTGGTCCCAAATCACTTCACTTCAATGTCGTATTCTGAATAAGGAAAGTTGTTGTGCAGCAGTTTGCGTGATTAAAAACAAAAATACCAACACACTAACACTTACATATTGTAAATGTTATAGGGTGACAGGCAGGTACACCCTGGACAGGGCACCAGTCAATCTCAGGGCTAACACAGAGAGACAGACACACCCACCTATGGGCAATTTAAAATAATCAGTTAATCTAACTGCCCGTACTACAGTTCTCAGAATTGTGGGAGCAAACTGGAGTACCCCTTGATAAATTCTTTTCCTTCTTTAGTGATCCCGGGGACTGGCAGTAGAGAGTGGAGTGGAGCCAGCTGGAAAGCTGGTAATGGAGAATTCAGAGGTGCCAAACTGGAAGCATTGTGCCATGAACGTTAAATAAAAACCAACCAAACAGTTACGTTGCGCTGTGTCTTTCACAGTGTAGAAGTTAAGAGCCCATTATTCATGTAAAGTTTTTAATTTGTCTTTTTATTTATATTCGAATAATAATGTATAATATATGGATTATAAATGTCAATTCATAACAAGGATTCGTAAAAGGGACAAACTTTGTAGAAGAAAACAAATGCTGTCACTAGCAGTGTAGGCCTCTTTTTTTACTGTTGGTAAATGGGGTGTATCTGGGATGATCAGGAAGAGGAGTACAGAAGTCTGGTGAGGAACTTTGTCGCATGGAGTCACACAAACCACCTGCAACTCAACACCTCAAAGACTAAGGAACTGGTTGTGGACTTCGGGAGGTCCAGAGAAGGTCCACTGCCGGTTCAGATAGAGGGGGAGGAGGTGGAGGTGGTCAACAAGTACAAGTACCTCGGGCTGTGGGTGGACAATAAACTGGACTGGTCATGCAACACAGAGCACCTGTATAAAAAAGCCCAAAGCCGACTGTACTTCCTCAGGAGGCTGAGGTCTTTTAACATCTGCAGGAAGCTCCTGAGGATGTTTTACCAGTCGGTGGTTGCTGGAGTACTTTTCTATGCTGTGGTGTGCTGGGGGAGCAGCACAGCAAAGAAGGACTCATCCAGGCTGGAGAAACTGATCAGGAGGGCTAGCTCTGTGGTCGGCATGAAGCTGGACACTCTGGTGACAGTGGCAGAGAAAAGGACATTAAAGAAACTGATGGACATTATGGACAATGCTGGGCATCCTCTGCACACGGCCATTAACAACCAGAAGAGTCTGTTCAGTGACAGGTTGCTTCTCCCAAGACAAGAACTAACAGACTTAAAAACTCCTTTGTCCCACACGCCATCAGACTGTTTAACTCCTCTCTGGAGGGGAGAGGGAGGGGAAACAGGAGGACAAAGGAGGGGGGAACAACTAAGCTGTAGTGCCTCTTCACCTCACTGTGCAATACCTTTTGTGCAATACTTTTGTAAATAGTCAACAGTGCAATAGACTCAATACTTGAAATGTGCAATTCACTTGTATTTTTATTTTTTATTCCTATTTATTCTATTTATCCCCTTCGTATATTTTATTTATATTGTCTCTGTATTTATATATGTGTGTGTGTGTGTGTGTGTGTGTGTGTGTGTGTATTGTGTGTGTGTGTATATATATATATATATATATATATATATATGTATATATATATATATATATATATATATATATATATATATATAATCTATTCTGTAACTCTGTAACTTCTGTCGGTGCTGTGCTTTTTTGGAAATCGAATTTTCCCAGAGGAACCCACCTGAGGGATTAATAAAGTTCTATCTAATCTAATCTAATCTAATCTAATCTAAATGTATTTCTCTTTACTTTGCTGTATAGTTAATTAATTAATTGTTACATTTTTAAAAGAGAGAGGCTTATATCGGACTGTCATGGAAGATCTTTCTCAGTGGTTTTGCTGCTGTGCTCTATACTTTATATGTAACGGCCTCTAGCATTGTTTGTATATGCAGAGGCAAGTAGAGAGACAAGTCAACACACCCATCAAGCATATGAAGTCAGGCTAAAAATCTCTTTCACTAATGTGCAAAATGTCTTAAAAAGATGACTGAAAATGGCAATTGCAACTAAATTGATTCCACCACTTTAATAACTGACATTAATACTTTAGGTATTATTCTTACATAGTATATGTACGTGTGTATGTGTTACATCATCATCATCATAATCATCATCATCATCAGCGTGATTTGAAAAATGGGGATAAAAACATTACATGAGTGTTGTGCAAGAACATTTTGCTTGCACAATACACATGTAATGAGTTACTAGTCGCTGGCTGCGACACTCATCTTCACACTGCAATTCAAGGAGCTCCAGCTGCAGCTGATTCTGAGCATCATCAGGGTCAATGGAGAAGGGAGAAAAGAAAAACAGTATGTCGTCACATAACACATGTGACAAGTGTTCTTTCAACCAAAAACGCCAAATCTGCTAGCCATACACAATCTGACAATTTGTGTTTTGCTTGTCCCTTTTTCAGCAAAAAACTGTACAATTTCCTTCTTGAGAAAAAAATCACTGTATTGTGGATCCCCAACTGAGCCACCTCACAAAATTTTATATATTAGATGTTCACATTTAGCTCAAACAGGACATGCTGAAACCAGTGGTGGCACAGGGTTTTGTAAGAAATTAAATTAATGGTTTTCACAGGTTTCATAACATGATTGAATGTGAGATGTTTTAAACAGATATGTTTGATGTTTGTTTCATACTTGTTGAAGAATTATACAGTGATTAAGTAATAGTGTTGCGTCCTTCTTCAGAGACTTACAGATCAGTGTGGACAGTCCACTTCATTCACCAGCCATGACAAGTACGCCATCAGTAATAATCCAACTAATTTTACTCCATAGTAGCTTTATAAGTCAACATCATTATCATTAAGTATGCTGATGACACCACCATGGTTGAGCTCGTCGCTGATGAAGATGGGACAGCTTTCAGGGTGGAAGTAGAGAACTTGTCCCGGTGGTGTTCAGAAAATAACCTGAAACTGAACATCCTTAAAACAAAAACACTCATAATGGATAAGAGGCAAGGCCAGGTCAACTTCCCTCTCTTATTGCTCCTCCCCTTTGTGAGTGTGGACGCTTCATCTCTTTGCTCTTGAATGCTTTGCTTCTTATATTGATTTTTATTGATTTTTATGCTGATTTTTTCCCTTTTTTCCGTGTGAGCTTACCTGCGATAACTTCTGGACACTTGTAGATCATTAGGACTAGAGTGTTCTT